TCTCCCTCCTCCACAAACACTGACGAGACGAGCGTGAAAGGTAGTGCTCAATCTCTGCGACCGGACGACTCCTCGGTTGACGCGGAGGTGGCTGAGGAGGAGAAGGAGGAGGCGTCTGATGGCTGTAACGCCTTCAGTAAGGGAAGTGGTTCTTCCACCACCTCCTCCTCCTCCTCAACTAAAGGTCTCAAACGCTCAGAACTACTGTTGGAGGAACTACAACGTCGTGAAATGATCCGTTTTGAGGATGAACTGCACAAGATCATCCTCATTCCTCGAGTGTGAGTCACTTGACCCTTTCCTCCGTCTTAGCCCTGCGTCCTAGCGTTAGACGTAGTTGAGTGATTATGTACTTAACTTTATTTTGACCTTATTTACAATCTTAACAAAAACTGTGGTAGAGTTTGATAACGTCGTATTTACAATAAGCTCTGGTGCTATGCCTTGAAAATCCTAAATGTTTAGTCATAATGCCGAGCTTATCACTAATGGGAGCCATTATTCTATCATGTCACGGTAAAATGCAGGAAATTTTAACTCAAAAAGCAATCGTCACTGTGCCCTTGATTTTTTATTGTTCGAATTGACATTTTCACACTCGCTCATTTGGTGAAAGGACGTCGCCAAAAATACTGTCAATATTTCTTTTGCAACCTTTGACTTTATGTCTTAACAGAGAGGACACCTATTTTCAGACTTCTTTACCCCCAACGTTTATTCATTAATGCGGTATATCCCAATAGTTTTCCCATTTTCTCTGTCCCGAATGTGGCACTTAAGCCCGTTGGACGTTTTTGCACCAATCGACCACACTTTTGTTTAGTTTGTTTAACCTTGTTCATTCATGCACCGGGCCTCTTACATGTGCCTCATTTTGAAGTTCTCATCGGCGATGATAGGTATTCCCTTCTCTTCTTACCATTTTAAAGTGACGGTTTTGATAGAATGTAAAAGGTCCAATGCGTACTTCTACTTGCACTACATGATATGTTATCTTCACCCTATTTATTTTGGTAAATCACAACGCTAGGATTAGGCTTTTATGTATTATTTGCCTCAGTCGTCCATTAATTTAGTTTTTGTTTTTTGAGTATTTACGGCAAATGACTATTTATGATCTTGCTATTTACGTCTTGTTATTGACTCATATCCACTTAAATGCACAACAAGCAGGAGTGAACACGCTTCGCCAAGTTACAGCTTTAGCCTTGCGTTTAATAACGATTATTTTTTTCTCCTCTTTATCTCCTACACTTTCTCCACCTTTAACTCACCACCACTTTCTCACCACTCCCACTTCTCCTGATGGACGCGTGTCTGTTTGCAACGTTATGCTAACGATGATGCGCGGGAAATCATTTCTAAACTTAATTCCGCTGCTTTCTGTGGTTGCTACTACAGCAGTCCCTACAAGAGGCGTAAGCGCCATTCAAAGAGGAGTCCATGGCAAGTTAACGCTAAATAGCGCTCACTTACTCACTCCCCTCACCCCTCTCCCCACCCTCCCTCTCCCGCCATGTGATGCTTGTGGTTTTGTTTGGCCGATCCCATCCACCCTTCTTTTCCTCTCCTCCTTACCCACTTGCCTACCCTCCTCCTCTTTTCCCTCCAACCCTCCCAACCACATGTCTGTTTTGGTGCGCGCATACACGCAAGCGCTCTGTTTCCTCCTCCTCACTCCTGCACGCTATTGTGTGTTGGATTTTGTCCTTTCCTAGGTCGAGGTAAAAGTAAATAGCTACCTTTGGGTTGTCGGTGACTGGCACTCGTTACTTGCTACTACTGGTACTGACTGTTTTGAGTGTTGCTATTGTTCTCCCTTCCTTGATAAGCATGTTCTTGTATGCACACTCCCGCTGATCTCACCCATAATTTGCCTATTCGACAGCGTCTCCTGTGTGTGCTTTCAGTTATCTTGAGTTCGACAGCGATCTCGCAGCGGCTGCTGGCGGAGGTGGCAATGAAAGTGAAGATAAGGAGTGAGTATACACCCACAGAACTGGCATCTTTCAATCGGAACAACAGTGCGCATAAGCTTTTTTTCACGGAACCCCCTTCCCAGCCTCTGATAATCTGTCTCTCTGTCCCTATACCTGAACATCAGAGCTGGGGTCAGACCGGGATGCATGACTGGAATTGCTTACTTGTGTGTTATAGTCAATTTCATTGCATATTTTTTGTGTCTGTTGTACTGGTGATCGAGATTACCGTATCTGATCTGTTGTCTAAATGGCGAAAATGTTTACTCTCCCCCTACTCCCTCTTCTTTTCCCTCACGTACATATACGCGCATACTCATCGGTCGGCATGAGGCTTATAAATTTTGCTTTGTGTTGGCTGCGACTTACTGCGCTTTTGCGATCGAGCAACACTGCTTAAGTGGGTCAATGATGAACACATATTTGAACTGAATTTGGTAGTGCGTGTGTTCTCACGCGCTTCATCTTACATTAATGAGCTGCAAATCTCCCAGCGATTCATCTCCCTCTTGTTTTTTCCCAGCTATTTGGATCACTCAACACACTTGATCTAATTCAAGTATTGTCGCTCAAATTGGACGTATGTATGCGTATACATGCGAATACATATATTATAATTGCGCTATATACCTGCCTACTCTTAACATATATGCACTTTCTCTAACCCTCTGCAAACGGTTTCAGCCGCCTTGAGTTCGACAGCTTCAGTCAAGAACCCTCCTTTTATATGGATTTCGAGGAGGCGTGAGTGCACTATCTTTCTCCCTGTTTTCTCCCTCTCCTCATCTCACCTCTCATCGCCTCTATCACACCCCTCTTGTTTCTTTTTCTTCTCTCATCTTTATGTTGTTTCATCATTCTAACCGTTTTAAGTGTGTCGGTGTTAAATATTTGTCTCTTTCATGTTTACGTGTGCGTTCGGTTGGACGCAGTGCATGCCTGCTAGTCGTTTGCTGCAAGTTACCGTCTGTTTTCCGCCGTCAACCGCCCTCATCTCCCCTAAGTGTGTAAAATAAAATATGAACTCACACGGGGTGAGAGTTTCGAGCTCTCATTCACAATTGTTTACCTCCCTTTCCCACCGTCTCTTCCCCTTTTCCCTCCCGTTTTCCTCCCCACCCGATAGCTCCACAACCACATGCCCCCACCACACCACACTACCTGTTCCTGATCGCGTGGTGTGCTTACCTCAATTTAGGATGCAGCGCTTCTACGACTACGCCCATAGAGACGACTATCTCTATGGCTATGGTTCCCATTTCGGTGAGTTATTGTCTCCTCACCCAATTACCTGCGCACAGTTTTACATTCTTGGAAGCATTACTGAGAGATTAGTTCTAGCCGTCTCCCCGTTGACCTTCAGAAAAATTATACGTCTAATTGCTTGGACGTCCTAGGTGTAGTTTAAAAGTCACAAGCGACTTATAGTCTTTTTTCACAGATCTTCTCTTCCTTGGATCAGCTTCCTTAGCACACGTCATGACGCGCTTCAATCCCAGTCATTATGAATCAGTGGTTCGGTTTATAAAAATCGCATGAGAAAATATGAACTTAAAGGAGAGAATACATAAGGCAATTATGGCGTTTTCGAACTGGGTCTTGTGTCATTACCGGTCGTAATGCAAGCTGTCGCCTCCTTGTCTCTAAAAGTAGGTAATCTCCTTCTACAGCCTCTGGTTATATTGTCAAGGCAAAGAATTCGAAATTTTTGTTGCTTTGGGTTAAATTTACTTACAGTCTTTATCAATGTTGTGGTTGAGCTATCACCAACCCCACTGTAAAGTAAAGCATCATAAGGTTGGCTTTATTTCCTCTTTAAGGAATGGTTGAAAGTTTAACTTCGCGAGTAATCTAAAAATGCATGTCAAGACTGGAAACCTCCAGCAATGGGATACTTAATCAAAGCAGACTTCTCATTGGTACAGTTTCTTTTCTTCTGGCTTTTAGTTCGAAAACGTCGTGACACAAATCCAACGAGTGCTATGTTGCCGCAAAAGGTCATACGCGTCCCCGTCTCTCCCGAGAGCAATGGGGATTCTAGTGGGTCAGCGAAATTGAGTTACCTTGTAACTGGATTGGACCATTTCACCGAGTACTTGTTCTTTATTTCCGCGTGTCACGAACCTCATGATGAGTATGGCAACCAGCTGTCCTGTGTAAGTAGCTCGCACTGGGAACGTTATCGTTTGTAAATTAGCTAAATGCTATGATCTCGTGTTTACTGCTACTTATTAGCCTTACTTGACACTTGCACCTACGTTCCATCTACTTTGTCGCTCCTCATTTAAATTTATTTTAAATTTAAGCTGAGTCGCCTTTCTACTGCAATAGGGATTGTACAAGAGTTATAATGATCGTTTATTTTTACTAACTCGACTTGTTGAGTTTGGCAGATCATTTTCCTATTAATGGGATTATTCTTCACTTTATCTTTACTTGTCTTAAGAGTAACACTACAAAAGGAGGAGCGACTAACCCTTGCTTCTCTTTATGTATTTATGATTTGTTTCACTTACTACTGTACCGTAGCCATCATTTTCTTGAATCGATTTTGCTGTACTTTACATTCCACTGTAACATCCTTTAACCGTTCTCAGACGAGTACAGATTGTGACTTGGAGCAGGATGCGGGTTGCAGTCAAGCTGTGCGCATATCTCAGCGCACACAGGCCATTCCGCACGCGGACGAGGTGCCCTCAGCTAGCCTCTACGCTCTCACCCCTCTCCAACCTACCACTGGTAGTAGCCAGTCCCGTGTTGACTACTTGAGTGATCCCTTCGTCAACCTCTCTCGATCCGCTCTCAATGATTCAGTCGGCACCTCTGCCACTGTCGCCCAAAAGGAGACACCTGCAAGCCCAATCAAACTCTTTTGGAACGAGCCTAACAATCCTAACGGACTTATCCTCTACTATTGGCTTCAGTACCGTCGTACTGAGGGAGCTTCTACTACCCCAGAGGAATCCTCTTCTGTGAGACATTTTCACGATACCATTACCTCTGGACGAAGTGTTTAATGATATTGTTTCCTTCAGCTGCCATGGTTCACAATCTGTGTAACGCCCAAATATTTGGAGGACGATGCAGCGATCAAGGCTCTGGCAGGTCTGCGTTGCACGACGTCACTGTTGAAGGAGGAAGCAGTGGTAATTGCGGAGCAGGTAGCAAAATCAGAGGAAGATGCGAATCTACAGTGCGATTCAGCCGCCAGAACCGTCTTTACAGAGTTGGGGTTTCTGCGTGCTGGATTCTACGAATGGCAAGTGATGGCTGTGTCTTTAGCAGGGAATGGATCGTGGACTAAGTCTCACTTCTTTGATGTGCAGGTCAACAATACCTTGCAACCATGTAAGTCTCATTAATTTCAAGGATGACTAAGATTTCTGAATCGAATGTTTAATAGCTGGCATCGGAAGTTATGCCAGGTTGAAAAGAATTGGCAAGTTTTCGTTAAATTTACTATTGACAACACCATCAGATCATCTGACGGCTAGAAAGCATTCCAATATATTTTTTTGTTCAACAGCTCACATAGCGGCGATTTTGGTGGTCACTCTATTGGTAGTCGGCTTTGTTATTGCGTTCGCCGTCTGGTTGGACTACCGGAATAGGAAGTAAGTTTTTTTTCCACTTTTCAAGGTCGCCTCAAATCACCTTGCAGTGCGTCATGACAGATAACAGTGCATGTGCGTAATTATGTGACCCGAGCACGATGAATAGCATATGGCTAATTTTCCCCCTAGCAGACGAAGAATGAATGCATTGAAGAATCGCAAATCGGAGTACTTGGAATCGCTGTTGCTCGAGAACTTTCAAGACGAGTGGGAAGTGGATCCAAAAGATCTGAGCTATAACGTGGAAGACACACTGGGTCAGGGTAGCTTCGGTCTTGTTTGCCGTGGTCGTCTTGCTCGTCTCACCACCCCTGCGGCCGAGTATCTTCACCTCACATCCGCATTTACGTCTGGAAGTAGCGCTAGTGCTGGAGGTGGAGGGAATGGAAGGCCTTCCTCTACATACTCCACTTCGGGGTCAAAAAACTGGTTCACTTTTATCCTATCGAGACGCTTCCGTCGTGCCTCTGGTGCAAATGGTGATGCTCAGGGGATGGATGTTGCCGTAAAAGTTAGTTATAAATCAAGTGTTAAACCCTCATTAATGTGCACCTTCGGGGAGGAGGGGGAAGGTAACTGAAATCTGTTGCGAATTTGTCCATTGTGTTAATGCCTTTAAAATTAACCGTCAAATCTTTTGCCTTTAAATTCCGGAAACAGTTGTACCTGAAATGCATCCCTTAGTGGTGATAAATAACTTTGTCATAAATGCATATTTTTAGTAAAAATGACGGGAAACCGCGTGATAAGTTAGTAATTATGGCAGTTTGGAAGCTCTTGGAGCCCTTTATGCACCAAGTGAATACGATGCTGCTGGAGTGTAGCTAGGAGGAAGTAATTTTTTCATGCTCAAAATGTCGAAGTTCGAGAAGAGTATTTTTAGCGTGTCCAACCACATGCGTATTGCGTACTTCACAAAAACTCATTTTATGTATTTTGATTTTTTTTTTCATTTTGGGTTCACATCGTAATAATGAAGTTGCATATTTTGAACTCCCACTCAATGAAAGTGCAAGAGTAATTTATCGGTCATTTTAATCGGACACACCTATTATTGGCATTGCAGCTTTCCATATGCGTACATTCACACATGCATCTACGTTTATTCACATGGAAAGGAAGGCGATGGGGCTTTTGACATGTCCCGAACATCCGTCCATACTACGGTAGCACTGTGGTCATCTAAATGACCGTTACTCATAAAGGTCGCCCTTAATTATCTTAACGCAGTCATCAAATGCGAGGTCAATGTGGTTTAATGTTTGTGCCAATGGTCCTTATCTTATTTAAGTGCTCTGTTATTAATGTTACATGATTTGGAGATTCATCTCCGCCCCAGACCTCTGGATTCTTCTCTCCATCTCCATCGCTGGTTTAGAGGTGGATTTAACGAAAAGATTCAGTGTGTAATGCTTGTGTATGTTTCCCGACATTAAGGTGGTGGATTGGCATTAAAGCAAAGTACCCTTGTGTGGTGTGTTAGTTGGGCGTAGTCAACATCTCATACTAGGGGTACTTATTAACATCAGTAATGGTTCTGCCTACCTTCCACTGATACTTGTAGATATTATCGCCAGGATCCACCTATGAGGATGTTCGTGAATTCCTTGGTGAAGCCTCTCACATGAAACAGTTTAACTGCAACCACATTGTTCGTCTGCTTGGAATTGTTTCAAAACAGGTAAGACTCTTCTAGCCCAACATTTCGTTCATGATTCGTGTTGGAACTGGTGCAACATGTGGGGAAAAGCTGTTGTTTTCGGTGTGCCTTGGGGCGTTACTTTGGATATACTCGTGCGCGTATGTTCGTATTTATTGCAGGGGATAGGTGTGCGTCAGTTCAGTACTGATTCAACTTGTGCTCTATGTTAGTTTCATGCTACTCTGAACCCCAAAAAAATGTTTCCTCGATTTGATAGGTGTGATGTGAGGTAGTCTGCTTATCCTGTTAAGAGATAAAGTACTGAGATGTGGTTGCATCACGTTCAGCTATTCTTGGCTATGAAAAGATGTTTATCGGCGTCAATTAAAACAATTTCGGGTCGTAAGTGTTGCGTTACCTAGCTCGCACCTTTACCATTGAGGGAGAGGAGGTCAAGTCGTAAGAAATAACGGCTGTCATCCTGTCTTTGACATTTGGCTTTTAGGTGCTGATTAACTGGGAGAATGGCTGATATGTGATGCGAAATGGGCTTTATGCTCTTACGTTGCAGTGTGGGGCGAGCGAACACTACAGTTGATGTATAACCGATTCACTCAGTTTGACATTGCCAAGACACCACTTCACCTCTGAAAAATTACATTGTGTATGTGTGCGGGTGCGTGTTGTGCTGTGTGTAATTGAGCGTAGAATGATTGTTTATGGAGACGCGTTCGCTTGCTGAAGTCCAAACACTGATCAAAACTAGTATCGTCTTCGTTCTTCGTTTTTCTTTGAGGATGTCTATTGTCTTCTGGACTTATACTTAACAGTCGCATAATCTTATGGGAAGTCAGAATATTCACCTTGAAAACAAGACTGGAGCTATTTCGACTTACATCTGTTGGGTATGAGATCGTCATTTGCATTTAGTTTCCATCAATTATTATTGTTTGGGAAGTTTTTTCCCCAGCTGCATAATTTTCAGGTTGAAATAGCACTAAGTTATTGCAGTTCCATATGTGTTCGCCAGGGTACCCTTTGTCAATCTCACTTGTGGGAAGGTTTGATAGGCATCTTCGTGACTTTACGCAGCTGTGACATAATCAACTTAGTTATACGGTTTTTTAAACTTATTTGTGTATTTTATTTATATTTCTGTATAGCGGTTATGAGAGAATAGTTAGGTGGACTCTCCCTTTCAAGTTGGAAACGGTACCATTTCTCATACAATTAAAAAGCGGTGACACAATCACTGAACCGGTAATTTTACGGTGACACGTCTTCGTCATTATAGATGGGATACTTCAAGATTGGATGAAAGTTTTACGCCAATATGGGTATGCGCAGAGTTCCTTATCTCGTTTTTCTTCGACTTTTTAACTAATGTACTTTTACTTAGATAGTGCACTAAGTTGTGCTTTGAGCTAGTGGATTGCCCACCACCGCCACTCTACAGCCAGAACGAACTTATGCTACAGTCGAACTTGTGCCTTAATTGAGGCGAATCGTCCTTCGACCGTTTAAATCCCATCGAGATTTCTTTTTGGTATAAATTTCTCCTAACATTAAGCAACTGACTGCCGCATTCCTAATACCATTTTTAGATTGCCAAACTTACCTACGCATCAAATGACTTCTTTGCTCTTCGCTATGCTTAATTTGCTGTTCTCAAATAACCTTAATCCTTCTTATTTATACTTCTGTGCGCACAATGTCAAATGTCAGGATAATCCTATTCTAATATGGTAGCTATTCTAAATACATCCATTCTTTAACTTTTCAAACTATGTATTTGAGTCCCATTTGCCTCTTTGTGGTATGCTTTGGGTTCACCAGCATTTATTAATTATGATTACACTTTGTTGTCACTCCTTCCATCTTGCGACCCCTCTAATTATGCGGACAGTTGTGCAGGTAAGTCGGAATGCCATTAAATAGGCGCCGTTGTAGATTGGCCTAATCACTGTGTAGCATTTATGACCTAAGTGTTGAGCGAGTCTGAGAGGGATTGGATAATGGTCTCCGAAGACAACATTTCTAGTTGTAGCCTATCTTCATTACTGGGGTCGTTCTCTCTCCAACACCCAAAACGATTGAGTTGTTTATTTGTAGTAGCTTTTCCCGTTGTTCGGAGAGCAAATGACGAACTCTCCAGTTCAACTTTACGGCTATTTTTGGTGGACAGTTTGTTTACTTAACGTTCTTTTGTTGCCGAATTATCCCTATTGTCAAAGCTGTGATGGGTTTTCAGACTTACTCGTATTAACTTACACTTTGTGCTGAGTTTGACAGCTTAACTCAATGGTCTATATGCCATTGTCTTTCATCCTCCCTCCCTCGCACCTACTTTTATTTTACCTCATTTGAAATTCGCTCGGTCCACCATTGACATTTTTATGCTCTAAGTAGTCCTCTACCTTGTATCCATAACATGTCTTTTTCCATTACGTCTCAATTTTCCAGCCCTGTTTACATTTTCGCCCAATGGTTCGAGGGTTGGCGTGCGTTGCGGTTGGAACAGCATTTTATTCATGCAAGGGGTCTCTGAAAAATCCCTGTAATTTTACTGTGATGACTTCGGGGAGGAGGGTTAGCTTGGCATTGTAGGCATTCTTGTAGCATCACCTTTGTGTGACGTGTTCTCTCTTAGTTAACAACAGACTTCTGAAAGTAGTAAAAGTGATTCATGTTTTTCCTATCTCGAGTTGCATTTTCTGTTGATTGTGGTAGTTAGTTCTTCTTTAAGGAATCTAGTTTAGGACGTGCCAAGTAAGTTAGTCAATATTGTTTGAACTCCCGAGCCTTAGGCACCGTGGTCAATCCAGCAATCCTCATTTATCACAATTGGAGTAATGCAGCACATCATTATGTTTAAACATGTTAATTTTGATGGATGAAACTTGGTAACTCGAATTTTGACACATTGCTTCAGACGCCATAGGTAGGTGACAGTATGTGAGCATCCAGTCTTATTTGTAGTACTGGTTACCATCTGATACAAAAAACGCGTCTTTTGCTTTTATGGCATTTGAATGCTATCTGACCTCTGCTTTGGCGCACATAATGCCTGCGTGTTCTATCATCCTCTCTAACAGTGATTGCCTGCCTAGGAATTTTATCCCTTGGCGCAACATTTTCATAGTTTCTGTTCTGTGAATGGGATTGGCTGTTCATATCTTGATGGGAGGATTTGTTGATGTTATTTCAAATTTTGGGATGAAATTGATCTTTACACGCAAATCAGTTTGACAGTCTCTTGTTAAGTTTTTATCGCCTTATAGATTTCCTAACCTGTTGCTGACCGATAATAGCTACAGGACAGCACAAACTGCATCTGAAAATGTTTTAACTGATGCAAGCATCTGAGTACCTGGGATCGTTGAAAGAGCAAATAATGTTTCCGCTTTTGGACTGATAGCAAGACCATTAGATGTTAGTGTGCCAAATCCCAATTCCTTCCTCCCCCTCCCCCATTTTTTTCGGCGATAGCATTTGCTTTTACTTTCGAAATCGTTAGACCTTGAATCGTTGCGTATGTACCCTCGCCTTGGTGATTGCATAGGGATAAAGGCATCATTGCTGTTTCCTTCTGCACAAGATTAACGACGCTTGTTCCATGTTTATCACATTTTAAATGACTTTTAGGCCTTTCATTGTGTGTGATGGAACATCAGTATTATTTTGCAGCTTCTCTCTCAGGCCTAAACTTGTAAGTTATTTGTTCTTCGATAGTCGCGCTGCTAACGGGTCGAAATTATGTCTTGATACACTCTTCTCTTGTCTCCGGACTCACTAAATAGTAGAACCAATGGCTCTATGAGAAAAAACTTGTTGCTTTGTTTCAAGCTGTAGTAGATATAAGTATGCCTTTTTGTATTAACTGTATTTATTGGATACAGTGGTAATACTTCAAGCATGTGCACTGCTTGCAGTTTCCTTCTGCGTGCTGATAGTTGGGTGTGTGACTGACGAATTCTTAAGCCTAGTAATGTTTGAAGAGGTATCTGAATGTTGAAAGTTTCGAGTCTCATTATAAGCCTTGTTTTTAAGAAATTTGTATTGGAATTAAGAGGTGAAAACTCAAATTTGGTGGTATGCCAGTCACTGGGAGTAGTGGCGCCGCTCCTGCCGCTCGCGTGTGGCTAGTGCAAGAAGGTACCCTAGTTATTAGGTTTCTTTGACATAGGTGCTGGTCCGTCGGCAGCCGATAGTTGTGATGGAATTGATGCAGCATGGTGATCTAGCGACGTACCTCCGGCATCGGATGGCACAGGAGGATTACTCTCAGGGCTCTGTTTCTCCCGAGTACGCCATCAAGTGGGCCGCCGAGGTAGCCGACGGTATGGCCTACCTCGAATACAAAGGCTTTGTGCATCGCGATCTTGCCGCTCGCAACTGTCTAGTTGGTGTTGGACTCACAGTCAAAATTGGCGGTACGTTTCAACTAAAATGATTTGCCCTTTGGGTCTCGAAAGTAACTTCCATATGCAAACTGCTTCCATTACGCTATATATAGTATGCGTTGAGCTTGCACAATTGTCTAAGCATCACCGTTTTTGCTGTGTCTTGACATGCGTTCTAACCCCTCCGATTTACGGGTACTTATTATGCCATCCTATGAGACAATTTCGTTGTTTACTTTTAACCTATGTTTGTAAGGAACGATCGTAGCACAAATGTGTCCTTTTGTAACTTATGAGTCTTAAAACCACATCACCAAAGCTGCACAATTGTAATTAGACTCCAGTTAACTTTTAATATAAAATCAGACCTGCGCAATTTCTATCCCTGCCTCGGCTGCCCATCGTCGAGACCGTCGACTCATCTCCTAGGTACACTGACCCACAAGCCTCAAAGTTGCCCCATTTAGGTAGTGCATGTGATTGCACCGTTTGTATCATCATTCTAACCTGCAACCAGTCTTGGTGACCGATTCGGACAACGAATGGGTCTCAAGCCTCACAGCTATTGTTTTGATGTTGCTTTTCTCATTCCTCCCTTGGGAGTTATTGGTTCTTTCATCTCAAGCACCAAATCTCGTCTCTAACATTGAGGCTCCGTTATATTGACGTCAACTCAACTGGTATTTACAGTTCTAGTTGTTGGAGAGCAGTGTTGGGGTGATGTTACCACAGAGCAGTGGTAAGGTAAATGTCGAGCAAATTGGAAGATCATTGACCTCTGTCTAATTTTTCTAATCCGGATTGACCATGCTTTGTTTTCGGTTACCAGATCATTGGTATTGAATTACTTCCAGATCTTCCTACGCATTCGAACTTTAAATTGTCTAGTAACGCCCATTGCTCGCAGGCTTAGTAGTGATATCACTTCAAACTGGTCAAAACATCAAATACCTCAGCATGGTCTATGTTTATGTGTCCTTGGCTGGAAGGCCAGTGTAATAGAATCTGGTTTCATTGTTTTCACAAATGAAACGAGTCACTTCTTCCTGTTTTTTACCTGAGCTTATGTCACATAAATCACTGGCGAGAAAATAATTTATGAATAGGCCTTTTGCCCCACAAAACCAAGCTGTACTATTTTTGGCTATTTGAACTTTCCCTCAATGTGCCTCGTAGTTGTGTTCCATCTTCCAGCCTGACATACGCTCAAAAATTTTAAAGCTGCCTATTTGCACCAACTCGTTTCTGGTGTAAGTTAGTCAAGTTTCAGAGGAAGTCGCAAGACCTTTGGCATAAAGAAAATAATTAACTTCAATAAATGCATTTCCTCCACTTACTGTGCCATTTCCGACACCCTTTTGATCGAATTAATAAGTTGCTAATTGCGTTAAACCATCGCCACATACTTCATGAGAGAATGGGGAAGAGGGTAAAAAATGCCTTCAGAAACGATGGAAGAGAATTTATCTGCATAATGGCACCACTGTGGCGTCTATTTGGCTACCAGTTATTTGTGCTGAGTAAGTAAATCCACATTTGTTTTCAAGTATCGGTATTTTATACAAGAATCATTCACGTTAAGCGGCAACTGTTTGCTTTAACACCCTAGCAGTCCTGTAGTGTGTGCAGTAGTAAATGCCAAATGTCCTTTCACATGTGTCAGCTGGTCTACGCTCCAGACGATAACAACATTAGTAATCTGTGGTGGTAAAGCCTTTGTATGTGAAGGAACCCATCTGAATTCGCCGGTGTCCACTTATATTTATTGAAAAGTCCTCAAAGCATAGCCCTCATGCAGCGTTCAGTGGATTGCACACCCCAGATATTTGATTGGTTGGCTGCACCTCTGTTAGCGCCTGTCTACGGTACAACACTTGCGAAATGGCTCTGATCCTGCACTCTTTACGAACACATGACTAGGACATGGTGAGAAGCGAGTTTGCAGTCGACAATGCCTTACGTAACACACGCGCATACACAATAGTGCATGTGAGTTTGTAGATAGTTGGCTTTTCGTTTCTCATCGGCATCACGTTAAATGAGATTATACAACTTCGAATCTTTCTCTCCCTAAACCCTATTTGACCAAAAACGCCGGTCTAACTTCTCTGCAAACTTGATATGTGATGGTTTTTCCTCTCGATTTTTATCCAATAGGACACAAATTCAGGTTATTTGTTGATTAATTTTTTGGATTGCTAGACTTTGGACTTACGCGAGATGTGTCTGGCCACCTCTACTACCGCAAGGAGGGTCGGGCACGGCTCCCCGTGCGATGGATGGCGCCGGAGGCTCTCAAAGAGGCCTACTTCACTTTTAAATCAGACGTCTGGTAAGCATTTACTTCATGTTCCTTCTCACTTTCTAACCTTATGCATTATTGGTTTCAGGTCCTACGGCGTGGTGTTGTGGGAGATCGCCACCTTTGCTGCGTTGCCTTTCTCCGGTCTTTCACACGAAGAGGTGATTGCCCTGGTGGTGAATGGTGGACATCTCGGGAAACAGGGCTGGCCGCCCAAATTTCCGGACATTCTGTGAGAGCAACCTTCCCTCTCCCTCCGCCATATCCATTCACGAATCTTTTTGCCACTTCACTTGCCGCCTTAATTCGGTCCCAAAACGATCTCTAAAGATTCGTTTTTGTATGGGAACATTGCAGTATTAGGCAGCCATTGCATTGGAGCAACTATTGTGTCATTGAGTGCCACCGAAAGATGTTAAGTTGGTCGATCTAGTGGCCAAATCTCTGAAGTGGACCATCACTGTTTACTGTGGTTATGCTTTAAAGCCTCTGGAAATGTGATTGGACCTTGATGGTTTCGAGTTTGATTCCTTCACTTACAAAACTACTTTCATCACCACCTTGTTCTCGCCATGTGCAAACGCACATTAGTTGTTGTTAGCCGGCTTGGTCAGTGGTGTCCGGTATGTAAACTGGTTAGTGTAAGATATGTGGACAAATTGGTAGTGGGTGTGGTGGGACATGTTTACCACCTGATGCCACACATATTGCCGCCCTTACTGGAGCTTAGGGAAATACGGTTGGCATTGCGTGTATTTTGCTTTGTACAGCTCATTTAATTCTTTTACCGACAGACTGGATGTGATGCAAACTTGTTGGCATAGAGACCCGGAGTGTCGACCCTCCTTTGGCACAATAATCAGCATGCTGGAGCCCTATGTGAGTCCAGTTTTTCGCACAAACTCCTTCTACCTCAATCAAAACCTCAATTCACGCCGGCAGGAGGCTCCACGTGTCAACTTTGGCGGAGATGGTGAAGCCTTGGTGAAGGGTCGGGAAGTACTTTTCAGTGTTTCTGATGATTTTCCCGCAAAGGAAATTCGGAAAGTAGACGAAGACCGGAACAATCTGTAACACTTACTCTTGTGTTGAGACCTTTCACTTCCTGCCTTGTGTACACAATAATTGTGCATGACCATTCTTAAAGCAAGTCTTGTCCTCAGAGTTGTGGACTATTTGGCCATCATATTAGGAGGTAGTTTCGTTCTTTTTCCGGTCTTGTACGTGTTGGCGTATGTGGGTTTAATAGTTGTCGGCTATTGCATTTGGATGTAAGCAATCGTCGATCCTCTGAGGTCTCGCAGTCCTTAGCGTGGAGAGCAATTTCGTCCCTAATAAAACGCACTGTCTTCTCCATGTATTCAGTCATGCCATTATTTCCGCTCTTTTTACATTTATTGACGGTGTTCTTTTGACTAAAAGTTGGTATTATAAGGCAGTGTATGTTTCACACTGGAGATAATTTTTGCAGCCCATAGCAGTGATTATCATGGAACTGCCTGTGCTCATGCCGCTGACATAGACGTCTTCCAAATGCCTTGTTTGAAAGTTATTTCATGTTTTTACCTGTTGTTGAGCCTCTGTCGGTTCGTTCGCTAATCCAGAAGGCACTACTCGTTTCAGCATGTCAGTTGCGATTTGGATCACTACTACTAAGGTACTTCGGGCTAAAAGTGTGTTCAATATAACTGTTTAAAATTGGTAACTCGCAGAGGACTAGAAAGACGCCTACCTGGAAGACAGCCGGTATGCATTGCCAACCGGAAGGGAAGAAAGGTGATTTTCTGCACATGCAATAAATGAGGAATCGTGGCTGCTGTTGCTGGAACCCTAGAGGCCCATAATACCATCGTTAAAACCGAGAAAATCCTTTCTTTTGAGAGTCCGCGGCAAGTGCTAAATTCTCAAACTCCGAGGTGTGGTCGGATATCAATCACACGGTTAACGGACACATGAAATGTAGCTTCCTCAAGGCATCGAAGAGTATACATTCTTGAAGAGATTGGAACACGGACCTCCTTGCATCCCTCAGAAGCGGTAGACGCTTGCAAATGAAATCGAATTCCGGCTCAATAGAGCAAGTGGTATGAAATTGCAATCCCACAATGCGGCCGGACTCGCAGCACCACAACACACAACTTGGACTCACAACATCACACGGACTGCGAAACGTGACATCTGTTAAACTCATATTAACATACATGCAATTCCACGTGTCACTCACGGCGAAAGCTTTATCAGTCAACTAGAAACAATGTACAAAATAGGTAGGCGAATCAGCAACGTGTAGAACACTAGGAAGAAGTGTAGTTTACGGAAAATAACGCTTTTAAAATTGCAAATACAGCAATTCCGTGGGTAATTTCGACCACTTCCTAATTAGCCTAACAATTGCAAGGAACGGTGACGCAACAAAGGCATCACAATGAGGCGAAATATTGGTGATACGATTCAACACAGCAGTATATTTTATTTCCCAATGAAAGACACTGCTCGACAAAGCAAACAACTTGCTCATCACATTTACAAACCAAGAGCGGTTAAAAAACAGGAACAACAAATAAAGGGGGATAAAGTCCACATGATCAAAGTGAATGCAGGGAGAGAAGAGGAAAGTCAGAGGAACTATTAACCCTTGAGAAATTGCTTTCGAAGCTTCTGCATCATCGAGCCCGTCTGTCTAGTTGCACTTGAGGAATCGATGTGATCACCAGATGTAGAAGGAGTATTTGGATAGGGAGCAAGCTGAGGCGTAGGATAGCTCATGTTGCGTGGCTTAAAGACCATCTTCACCCCGCCAGACTTAGAAGACGAAAAACCATCCCCACATCGGTGGCAAGCTCGAGGCGTCCCGTGCCCTTCGGCTAGCCGCGTGGCTCGTCGCTGAATCTGGGACGGTGTGATTGCATCCGTCATAAGGGTCGTCCGACGAGCTACAAGTACAACGGCGTAATCAAGATAGAAACCCGCACGCTGCCATGCCATAATGAAGAGTGGAGGAATAAAAGGCAGCGAAATAGCAATATAAATTCTTTCCAGTTGCCAAAATGAAGTAGCCAGATAGCGTGAAATCTGTTGACTACGACAGGTACAACAGATCTATGCCATACTTTCTCAAACCGCCTTACCGAGTAAGTGCCTGTATTTTCCTTTCACGAAATAGTTTGCTAATATGCTGGCTTGAGTGAAGTGATACATAACAGTATGGCTTGTTTAGCTGTTCTGCTTAGTTTACAACGTCTAGACAATAGATAGCGGCCACAGAGAATTACGCTAGCTCCTAGAAATGAAGTTTCAACTTTAATCCTTCAAACTGATTTCGAAGGACAATTCGACATAACCCTGACATAAGCAGTACAATAGATGGGAAATGGACCTGTGCACAACTTTTGACACGAAATAAAAGTAGCAATGTGATGATGGGCTAACACCTAAAATTGATAACTGTCACGAGAAAGCCCCAAACAGATGTGCCCACCTCAAACCGATAATGATTATCTTAAAAGTTCAGTAAAAGCCACTCTCGCAGAGGTACCGCGTGCAGTATCAAAAGGCAAACTTGTCCCATCGCACACGCTGACAATCCACTCACATCTCTTGTATCAACCAGTCCACACACCAGACATCGTTGACCAATATGAAAGACAACCACTGAGCACTCATTCATGAGTAATGTGAGCTAATGAGCTAAATTCGAACCCTCGGCAGCTACTAGCAGCGACACTACTCTTCAAAGCACAAACACCACTCTTGGTCAGTGGGTCGCCGACCATGCATCTTCCATTCATCACACAACAATTACCCCTGTGGTCAGCCCAATCGGCAGGTCTTCTGTTGGAAAGGTGAACACAGACATTCACATCTGTATCCTATGATATGTACAGATTAATGCTGATAGAACATCAGAATTACTTGGCAAGACAAAGCTTTTTGAGGGGCAAAACTTTTTCTGCAAACGAGACACGGTTCAAGATCAAAACAATTATCCAAATCGGCGTTTTGACACTAACCTCAAGATGAAGCAGCCCATTAGGCTAAGTCATTCCTACCGGCAGGGCTTTCTGTGTCAGAGCACACACCAGATGCCAGTTAAACGTTTGCATGGGAGTACTGGTTGGGCATGAAAAAAATAGTCAAATTATCATAGAACAACAGCACTCACTCTCCCTCTCAGCTCGCTGCCTGGAGGAGGAGTACTTAATGAAGTGTTTGAGGCGCTGTGAATTTTCGGCCTCCAAACGCGCGTACATTTCAGCCCACGTTTCCTTCCGTCGTGGACCGCCGAGGTTGCGACTCTCTGGGAAGCAACGATAGACGTGCTTTTTCCATAAGTCATCCATCAGACCACGAAATTTCTACGACAGCCGAGAAAATAAGAAATGATCATACGGATGTGGTTGAGTTTATCAAAGGCCACTTTAACGTTGTGCGTCTATCTGTGTCAGATTGGCAATTAATCAGACGAATTCATCCATTACACCCTGCAAAGATGCCAAAATCTAGGAGGCATACCGATGTCACTCAAACCAAACATGACCTCATTTACCTTGCAGCCGTTTGAACAGAAAAATTATCACAAAAATCAAGGAAGAGATAATAACTCGCGAGACCTCCAGACCTCTTGCGACTCAGATACCCTCACATTATGTTATAGTCACCTATTCCAAGAATCTCCACTCTCAGACAGTAACGAGCAAACAATGCCCATAAAACCAACAATTGTATCCAGTGGCTTAATATTGTACGTAAGACACAGAGAGGTCGATTGTGCAAGCAAATTAGGAACTTCATGAATTTCGAATCTTGAGCAATGGGAAGCAATAAAGTTGGATAGCACTTGAATGAAAAATTTCTAACCAATTTCTGAGTCAACAATGACGTTGTCACATCTGAAGTCCCTATTCGTGTCCACCTTCAAAAGGGCGAGTGAGCAATACTGAAGCGACAGTAAAGTTGATGGAAAAGCAGATGATACGATTATGACTTTTGGTTTGATAGCCTTTAAGCCTAACCAAAAAAGACTAACATAGCCAATGGACCCATACCTACCTAACTGGCGGCTAAGGTGCCAATTCATACAGATGATTGACCATAATACTTGACTGCCGATGGGAGAACCCTCTATTTAACGTATGATTAGTGCGCAGCATAATAGTTTGACGAGACCTGATTTCCATTCAATCAATTTAAATTCAGCTAGATGGTATTGAGTTTCCAGTTTCTAAAAGAAGCAATTCCCCAGAGTGCTATCCATCTGGTGAGGATAATATCCTATCCACGACACCCAAAGACGCCCATTTGATGAGGGAACAGCAGAATTTAGTAACAGAGTCAGCTGATTTGTGCGGTTACAGGGACCCTGTGACTACTATGATAAGGTAGAGAAAAAAGACCAAATGTAACAAGTGGTCAGTGGTCCAGTTGTGGACACCTGGACCATCGGAATGGTTAACTTTGAATCCCAATGCTAGCTGATTTTAGAGATCTACGGAACATCGATTCCGGTGTTCCATATCATGAACATGAAACACGCAGATGTGAAGAATTACAACTGGTTCGAGGCAATAACGAAGGAAACACCACCTTTAAAGTGATACTGGCCATTTACGTTAACATAAATCAGCTGCCATTGTAAAAGTTACAACTAGAAAATGAACTTGAGCGTCAATGCACATATGATGAGGGTAACAAAAACAGATTCTGGTGATAAAGGCATCAACTAGAAACAAGGGTACAATAATGAAGCACAGGTGATGTGTAGACTCAAGACAAAATCAGTCTGCAATCGAAAAAGACATTGAAAATAGGCTTAAAACGGCATCAATACAGCATAAACTTCGTTATCGGTATACCAATAGGTTCAGAGGATTTAAAATAAGGATCTCCGAACTAATCCAGATCAACATAAAAAAGAAAAACCTTTTCAATTTAAGTAACCTAAAGTGAACATTAATGATGCCTCTTCTATAGAAAATTAGTAAACTAACCAGAAGCAACAGACAAGGAAAGCATTTAAAATCTAATTAAAGGCTGCTTATGCTACAATAGAAACTGGAGTTGACTCACAGGATTATGCTTTTCAATTCGAATGAGATCTTCAGGCGAGGCATCCTGCAGGGCGCGTGAGAAGAGTTCGTAAGGCACCTCACCAACATTATCTACAAGTGAGATGTTCTTCGCCAGAACCGACAGGCAGACATCCACCAAAGTTGGAGGCTCGGTTAGACTACTGTTACTGCTGAAGAAAGAAGAAGCCTTCGTGTTGCCGTTTTCTACACACCTTCTCACACGCGGCGCCCAAAGGACTTTCTTTGAGCGAAATTTGAGATCACCGTCGTCTATGAGGTCATTGGAGGAAGTGGTGTCTGTCACGAACAAGGGGAGTACAAACAATAATGGATTTGTGATAAGTCAGAAGTAAAAGTACGTATCACCCCGACAGTACTTTGATGAAGTTGGACGCGTACTTGCACTTGTGGCCTAATGCGGCAGCCATAGGCTCGAGGAGTTGATGGTCATCTCGAACGGAAATGTAACAGTTGAATTTGTAAAAATGATTAACGCTTTTGGATAAGCTATATCGACACAAACAAACAGATCTATGGAGCGTTGATGGCAGGGAAGTTATGTTTACGCAGTCAAGACGCGCCTTGTTCCTGCCTACTCCTAGACGATTTCGAAAAAATCTATGATATTAGCTGAAACCTGCAGCAACAGTGAAAAGTATGTTGTCTCACCACCTAGCTATCGATCGCATAATACTCTTAAGGTAAAGATCTAAAGGAAGTGAGCTCAAATAAAGTGACGAGCTTTTTGCAATGCCTAAAACCTTATTGAGCCTACCAGGGCGCTCCGAAACTGGAACCTGCTGCTGTATGTAAGGACGATCAAAAGGAGCAGAGAGAGAAGAGAGGATTTCTTGTGTAAATGATGCGCTGGGATATTTCAGATCAGTGTACTCCTTTTCATGCACCACTTTTGGACGCTTCTTAAGCTTCTTCTTGATAGGGACGGTCATGCTCATGACTTGCTCAAAGGAGAGGCCGGAGGAAGCGTCAAGAGACTGAGAAATGGGCTCAGGAGAAGACGGACGCTTGCGTGATTTCGATTGTCGTAAAAGAGGAAGCTGGGATTTCAACCCGTTTGATGGTCTGAGCTGTCCCTGATTCTCCCTCATCAGGTCCGAGATCTTAATGTTTTCACGCCTCATGTGTTCATCAAGTAGAGCCTTCCATTTAATCACAAGACTGCGAGCCCTCAAACCCAATTCACCAGGCTCCGATTTCAGACGACGAACAGATCTTCCAACACCGGACTTTGACAACTCACTCAGGGTTAATGTGACCTCATCCAATGTACGGAGAACTTTAAGCTTCTGCGCAAGTCAACAAGTGGAGATTGAGATCAAAGTATGTGATAAGCATGTCAATTGCCTAAATGGCCGACGACTTCATCCAAATAAAAGCAAAGAATTAACAAAAAACATATTCATAAATAGGCACAGCAGTGACTAACTTCACGATAAACAGTAAAGGTCCTAGGTGTAAATAAGGAGTTGAATGGTAAGATACCATATCTTAGAGCTTTAAGCAGAAGTGTGAACCATGTTATCAAACATTTGACGACTATTACAAAAAATGAGTGAATGAAGTCACTAAAACAATAAATATTTACCTACCGCTTCATTATCCACATTAGGATCTCCGAGTGTCTCTGAGAATCTTGAGAGGGCTTTTTCGACATCCGCCGCCATGTACTAAAGATAGACACGACCGACCACCAGTTGGCCACTTTAGCGGCGGTTTAAGTTTGTGCTGAGGTGGTCATAAACAAATATTGCTGCTCTAAGACTTATCAAAAAAACGAAGAGAAAAGTAAATTACTGGCAATTTTGATTAAAAATAAGTATGGGCTTAAATGTATGCACGTGGTGGTTTTTTACTTCCTAGGTCTTAATGGTATATAAATATAAAATGGAAAACACCACTAAACATTTTGGCAAAACTTGAGGTGTTTTTCAAATCGATAATATCTTTAATGTATGCGTAGCATCTTAAACTTCTCCCCAACAGAGGAAGGCATCACGTTGGACATAACGCTTACATTCTATAAGAAGACGAAGGTAAGGAATCCAGGCATGTTACGAAGCTAACCCAAACGTCAAGGGCAAGGGAACTACCAAAGTCACCATTAGAAATCAGGTGGCTACAAAAACCAAGTTATATACTGCCTCTCTGTCTTTTGAGCTACGGTCCCGGTGTTTCACTCGGTACACCGCCTAAGCAAGACACCACAGCATTATCCAGTGTTAAAAGCCTGTACTTACAAGTCAGCCGCTCCAGTCTTCAGCTTTACTGAGACGAGCAAAGTTACTTGGTCTCCTTAGCAGCTTCAACTGAACAAGGAGTAGCGTCCAGTTTAGAAACAGATTTGGTCGCTGAACTCCCTGTTTATCATCATTGGTGTTCACGATAAGACGCTAAAACACCGATCTAAAAAAGACACGTAACAGGAAAGACAGGGTCAAATGTAGTTCTTTTCGAATATAGGTTAACCATCGTGTCATATTTGGCATTTATGCTTGGACGCAGTGAGGCGTATTTCGAGGCGGTATCGCTTTAGATGTTAATAGCCATGTAACACTTTGTTCATGTGACGCCCTGACGTTAGGCAGCCACTTTAGGATTTGTCTGGCCTTCCGGCCATGCTCAGGCCTAGTCGCCTTGTTCTCTTTGGAATACGTGCGCCCAGCTTCACTTAGGCCTTCCTTCACAAGTGAGGAGCCTCGGAACGCCTCAAGCCAGTCTGTGGGCACTATAGACGTTATGGAGCTAAATGCGGATAGCATTAAGGACCTCTTGATTTAGAAGATTTTCCGGCTGAAGTAAATCCGTTTTCTCTGTACCACGTTGCGAATGGAGGAAATAAGGATAAAAGACGTTAAAAGAAAAGCCAGGTTCGTTTTCCCTGCCACTAGTGCGGCATCTTGAGTCTTCCCACCAGGTAAAGTAAGGCATCACGTTCGGTAGAAGTCGAAGGGATATGGCCATGGCATGGCCCGAGGGCCAGCCAATGCATATAAGGGCAAAAAGGCCACCAAAGACACCACCAGATATGAGATAGTCACACAACCAAAGTGGCACAAATTCATATGGATAGATTATGAAGGCGAGAAGGGCAGAAGAATAATGCTTGTTAAAGTTCTCACTTACTTGTACCGTAATACCCTCGATACCAGTGCTTCACAGTCTGCTACATACGTCTAAACTTTGATGATTAAGTCAAGGGTCCTTCCATCATTTGACCTAGTCAACTTTCCATCCTCGTGTTGTGGTTGGCTCTTTCGTAGCGGCTATTACGGTTGTGTGCTCCCACGCGCTCAGGTGATGGGCGGTTTTTTGTGATTCATACAGTTTTACTTTGCAATGATAGAGTCGGCTTATTTAGGCTCTCTACTCACCTGGTCTTTACAGCTGTCCTGTGGGCTAACATCTACCCTTTAGTGGTAATAGTGGTTTTCACTTTTTTGTATTTACGTATGCGCACCGATATTTTACTCCATTGCCGGCAACCTAAAATTGCAGTACTTAAAGTCACAGTTCTCTATATCTGTCGAAAAGTTTGTTCGTTAAGACAAACCGACGAATTGTTAATGGTTTTGTAGTGTCTTGCATTTGCAGCATATATCCTTATTTATAAAAATTGATTTAATAATGCGGCACTTAATATTTCCAGATATTCTGAATGTTCATCGGTCTTATAGGTTTATGAATCTAACAAGTATAGAAGCGTATCACGTTGCCACGGTGGGCACTTGTGGACTCTTCCTCTGTGCTTTGACCTATTTTCTCTTCCAAGTTTTGCATTTGTACTTTAACCGCAAAATTCTTGTCGAGTGTTGGTTCTGCCGATCTCTTTCTACCGTCAAGGTGTCCGATCGCAATGCCTTCTTCTGCATTTCCTGTAAACAGTACAATGGTTTCACTGAGTCAGGTGACTACAACCGTCCTCTCCCTGCCCAGTATGAGGCCAATCTAAACCCTTACATCTTTACATCACCTCGTAACTTGACGGTCAATAACTCGAAATCGGATATCCTTTGTGTTTTGTGCGCTCAACGACAGGCCTACAAAATTGACCAACTAGCTCGCTTTGAGCCTTCCAATGAAGCTAGTTGGGATCAAGAACTAGATCAATTTAAGAAGGAACTTGAGGGTCGATGTGTGCTTTGTCCTTCATGTACAATTAAGGTTCACAGAAGAATTAATCAGGTACTGAATCGACTTTACCTAAATAATCGAGAGGCATCTAGTTTGATTTACACTTTCCATTTCAAGCTATATTATAAGCTATTGCTAGCCGTACATTTTATTTGCTGCTGATATTTTCCCTACTCTAGTTTATCGTAGTATTGGCCACTGAAATGCCTTTCATAGTGAACATTCTCATTCTGGTGCTCATATTACATGCATACGATCTGCTTTCTTTTGGTAGATTGATGCAAAGATTCTACCGAGCGTTCTGTCATGGTGGCGTAACAGATGCAACAAGAATTCCTCCGTCGATTCCTTACCTAATGAACACTATGGATTTTCGAGGTCCTCCACTTCACTGTGCATTATTTTATCTTTTCTTCGGATTATCACAACCCTTATATGGTTGGTTTTGGGGATATCCCCTTTCCTCGGATTTTTCCATTACCACATCTGCCACTTGCACTCCGCTTCTCCCATCAGGCTCATTTTCAGGAAACTAGCCTTACACATACCCCAGCGCTATTGCGAGTACGTTGCTGACTGGAAATCCGCCTTAACAATCCAACCGAGTCGCGCTTTGTGGGGATATGTATTATGCTTATTCGGACACCTCGTTCTTCTCCTGCAAACATTGCAGCCTACAACTAGCCCTATTCGTGCTCTTCTTGACTTTGTACTCATTGTTCTTGCCGCTGACTTGGCCATCACATGCCAGGACCCTAGCTCTATTCAAGCTCTTCTCCTAGGTCTTCTTCCAGTAGCTGGAATCGGTATTTTTTCCTACAACTGGCTCTCTTATAGGAAAAGAGGCATCGGCGAGCAAAAGCGGAAGCTGACCACCTGGTCGCCTCTCGCTTCATCTCACAATAAAGAATTCGCCTACGATAATGAATCAGCAGCTCCCTCTCGGCTTCCCAAGACCGACACGTTGGGAGCCCGCTCACTCTCACTGGATAAACTCTCACTTCATTCCTCATCTTCTCCCACTGCATACTCTGCCATCTTTTCGCCTCCAACTTTAGTCTCTTTGCCACCGCGGTCCCATTTCTGTGCTTCAAGCACAGCACCGGACTATACCCGCCTGCGGCAGGGAGTTGGTGACCACGATGATATGAATGAAGTGATGAGCCACTTTACTAGTGTGAGTCAACGTTCGATGTGTAGGAGAGGGCATTCAAAACGACCACACCGGAAGCGACGGCTACAGCAGCCGGTGGGTCTATTGCGGTGGGTTGTGTACCTTCTCTTCGGTCGTCTAGAGAAGTGGGAGGATGTGAAAGCAGAATTGGTGTGTCTTCTGAACGCCGTTCTTGTAGCTGTTCTTTTAATCCTTATTTGTCACCTGTTTTACTCTATTGTGCCTGCTTTGTGGGGTTTGAAGTTGTAAGCTGCGTTTTCAAGTAAGTAAATGCTGATTTCGGGAAAGTTATTTTGTTGCTTCATCTTGCTGATGTCATTCGTAATTTTCGTGTCGAGTTGTGCTTTTATTGCAATTTGGAGTTACGTGAGAGAGAGCTCTGTTTAGCTCTCATCGTGATCAGCGCTTCACCGTCGACTCACTTTGAAAGGTGGTTTATTCAATCTTGCTTAACTCCATTATGCAATTTTGCAATAATATATTTGCAAATCCAACACACATAAGTCACAAGCTTTTTCGCTTAAAATAATGGAGAGATTGAAGAAGAAACGCGGCTACCTACCTCGGTTGATTCGCAGAGTTCTATCAACTGCTATGTTTTCAACAGCGAGATAAACAGCAAACTAGTAGAGAAAGTGGGTATTAACCTGTCTGATCTTTCGTATAAAAAGGATATTGGCGTTCTATAACCAACAAATTGACAATGGTTGGGGCAACAACATCTTGACGAAGTTCATCAGCAAAGCGGTTTTTGAGGCAAGGAAGTCATACGGGAGGATGAACGTTTTCCTGGCTAGTAAATATTTTGCAGAGCGACAATGAATAGGGAACAGAGTATAAATTAAGAAATATGAGGTATTGGTAAGCGAAGCTGCTTTACATCTTGGCTTTCATTACTTACCGCTGTTTGCGCGAGTTCCCAGATTTTGGCGGGTCTAATGGTCAACACTCTTTATACATTAAACAAAAGTTCGAATACCATACAATGAGCGAGTTTTGTAGAATTGAGCTGATGAGGTTGCCAATTGGCGAATTGTTTCCAGAGTACCGACGTTAACCGTCAGCCGATAAGGTAGAGGTGGTTTATAATCCTCGAGAGTTCAACTACGTCCGTACTTTGATCCTTCTTTAACCTATGACACAGCTATGATATGTGTAACATTACATAGCATTTGAGACGGGTCTGTACGTACCTATTCACCTTAGTTTGATTTCATGCAACAATGCGAAAAGTATAGCGACAATATTAAAGTTACGGGCAGACTTGCTTTAAATAACGAAAATCACTGTTGGACCAAGATAGACCATTCCAGACTCCCAAGATCTTGAAGCCCTAGCTTCATAAGAGGACTGTTTAAAGACTATTTATAAGGCATTCTTTGCACAATAGACAAGGATGTGTGTGGGCATGTAGGATCTGCCTACCTACCTTCATGCCCTTGAACCATGGACTTCAAGAAGGTTTAGTTGGAGTGGGTTTATTAGGCATTGAATAGAGGGAGAACGGGGATAGGAGTACAGATCACCCAAATAGCCGATATTACCCGGAGACTGATACCTCATGGTCCTCACGCGCGGAATTCGCGTTCTGATTCGGTTCCCACCTATCTCCCGTAAAGGTCGACCTAAATACGAGCATATATTACAGGATCAGATGGCGATTAGGCGATAATGTTTAGAAGGAACCTTGTGTATTTTAAGCGAGGACTACGTAGTCTAATTGATCAAGTGCCTTTCTTTTTGTATGGAAAACTTAAGCATATTAGTATGTACATTACACATGCTAGTTTACATCTATTGCCACACGATTCTAGGTAGGTTTTAGATAGTTGCATTATATGGTATGTTTGTTACTCGTCTGCCGATCTGGTTTCAAGAGCCCAAAATAATGTTAAGCTAATTCGTATTCTTAGTAAATAAGGTACAAAGACATATTATCTATTCCGCTTTAATGTCTGACAAGTGGGATAATCTGTGACCTTGTATACGAATAAACCTAAGCATTAACCAATGGTAATATGAGTCACCTGTGGGTTCCGTGTATCTCAACGATGCACATCGCTTATGCGTCTGTTGGGATTTGTTTAATGCTCGGGTTCTGTCTCTGCTGCGACATCTCCGTATTTTATCGTATACCGACCCTCTTTCACATCTTTTAACTTCGATTCTAATCTATTTGTGGGTTTCACAAAACTACTTGACAATTATTTATCAAATTTTAAATGGATTTGTTTTTCATTTCAATACTGAGAAGTGACATATGATCTACTCTTAAACGCTCTGTGATATTGCGGCATTCGTGCTACATTCATTGATAATGAAAGCGTGGATTCTCTGCGCTTATTTCTCTGGGCTTTGCCAGGGTTTTTTGAACACTAGACCGTATCATCTTTATTATGTCTCTGTCATTCCTCGTTATTGGCACTTCTTTCTATTTATCATTTATCTGCTTAATTTTTATGAAACTGCTGGCTGATTGTAAATCGTAAATTTCTCTTCCAAACTTTTTAAACTTATACTTTTTTTAGTTACTTTGTAGTGATACTTCATTTGGGATGTTTGATAAAACAGTTGTTCTGGAAATAGATCTTCTGAAAAACGAAAATCGTAACGAGTTTTCTTACATTGATCTTGTTCGATCTGAACTGGTACGCCTATTTTCGGTCAGAACTATTTCGATTTTTCACCTTAATTGTATCCGTAGTCACTTTCATGTTTAACGTAGTTTATCTCTAAGTTATGAAATTTTTGACACTTTAACTGGTGGTTGATGCTGATTCCCTATTTTATCAGTCGATCTGAATGACCTCTATATAGGGAATCAACATTGACATGAACATGCAAACTGGAAATGAGGATACTTGTATGATGGAGTTAGCCAAGTCTTTCGAAAGGAAATACGTATGTTCCCATATCATTTAAGACACACTCAGCTATAGGGTAATATGGTAACAGTGACTAACAAGGGAAAACGCCGCCGCCTCCGAGTAGATGATTTTATTGATCTCGGAGAGGGATATGATTCTCAGGATTCCTTCATCGACGACTCTGAGGCAGTGGAATTGATTGTCGCCCCCACTCTCAGAACTCGACATGGTGGATTTTTTGTAAATGAGGGCTTTCTTGAAAGTATCGAGGATAGATCGATGGATATTGAGCCGCCACCCTCTGCACCCAAACAGCCAAAAATTGATCTCTCCTCTCCATCGCCTAAGCGACCTAAACTCAAAAAAGACAAATCAAAGTAAGTACAGAATACCTTCTCAAATCTGTATCAGGCAGTTGTTGGAGAGAGCTGTAAAGCAGTTGGCCGCACCTGCTGCAGCTGCTGTGTCTACGGGCAACAAGACCACGAAGAATGGACTTAACTCCCTCGACGCCGTATTTGATTCTGTGCTTTCTGCCTCTGCACAAAACGATGTGAATAAGTCGTCTCAGTCGACTTCCTTCAACAGCAAAGTTACACCGAATAATAGGACGGGAACATCGAAACTCCCTACACCCTCGAAACAGCAGCATCAGCAGAGCCCTCCTCCTTTGCCTCCTCTCTCTGAGGATTTGCGGTCTGAGGTGCAAAAGATTTTGGCCGTAAGTTTGCTCTTCCTAAATCATTTTCCATTTCCTTGATAATTTCACTGTTCTAGACGTTTTTTTGTTTAGTTTAAACCAAATTCTACTCAAGCTTTATCTAAATTACCCCTTCCGCCCCAATTCGACAACGATTTGTTGAGGTTAGTGGTTATTTTAAGTTTGCTTTTATCACAGGCGTTTGGTCCCTCATACCATCACCTTTTTTTCAAACAAAGATTCGATGAACTGATGGTTAAGAAGAATTTGTCGAAAATGACTAAGTCTGCGGTGTATGCGTATATTGCAAATCAATTGTGTATGAAAAGCAAAACGCTTGTTGGTCGTTTGAGGAAATTGAAGGAGCTTAAGGACGATTCACTGTTGGAGCCTATGTTGATTGCTCTCAAGGATGGTAAGTCCTTTACTTCTAATGTCTCATAATATATTTCCCTGCTCAAAGCCTTGGCAATGTAGGGTCCAGTTTTCCATTGAAGACAGATTCCTTGCCCTTGATAATTTTCGCTAATTGCACCTATTAGCCGTTTCGAGAATTATGCCTGGCATTCTGTCTGCCTACAATCGTGACTTGGCGAACTACCAAGAGCGCTTGAGTATATGGGAAAATGAGTAAGTTGTCCTCTTAAGTTCTGCTTGATTAGGTGCGAAGTTCTACTTTTTACAAACATGTATGTTTTTTTTGCCTATTTGGTTTAGTTCTGCCATTTTTTTATTGGCTCAAGTAAATTTTGCTGAAAGGTGTCTTTATGATTCAGTTATACGGTAGGCATTAAGCTATTTCTAGTTATGAAGGCATTTTTTAAATACTGAAGATTATCAGCAAAATTTTTTGAGACGGTCTCACTAAGACTGAATCCGCACATCATTTTGGCACTCACCTTAACGAGACGCAATGTAATTTAGTTATTTTCTTTTTGTAATGCCGGTAACCTGGTCGCCAATTGGAGCGATTCAGCTCTACTCTTGGCTGAGGTAACCGGCGGTATTTGGACTAAATCTCACAAATTTTTCCTTATTACATCTGAGTTGGTTCTAATTTTGTCATAGAGGCCGATTTCAAGCAGATTTCTTAAGCCAGTGTCATCTCAGCTATCCTTCTGCTGCATAGCATTTGGTTGTGAATGTTAATTCATCCCATGGTTCATTTTCTAACTAGATCTGCCTAATTAGATCGTTCACGACCTCCAGCGTTTCGGTTTTTACCACTTTGTTTTCGTTCACACTGATGCTAGGCGGCAAACAAATCCCGAGGCCAAACGCCCTGGCGCTCCAAAGAAAATATTTCGGTGGAACTCCGATTGCCGGTAGGTCACAACGGCATTTTATCGAGACCTTAGTCTACTTCTGCCCCATATGGCATGAATGTGGGCTGTGGTGAAGGGAGGCATTCGTATTTTTTGAGAGCAAGTTACACACCTGTAGAAGGTGAAATGTTTTTGTATGTGGAGTGGTGCAAAATACGTGGGACTGTACAAACTGATGAAAAAATCGGTCTTGCTTTAAATCATTGATAATTCGTATCTTCTTTCATACACTTAATGGTAGCTTTAAATGTATTTTCATTTACTGGCTAGTTTGGGAGTTTCATCGGCATTAATGATATTGTTTGTTTGTTTCTCTAGGTTGAATATTGGAATTCCATGTCCTCAACTTGTCGGTTTTGCTTTGTTAGGAGCCTTAATCCTTTGAGTGACGTGCCTTATTGCACGTTGAAATTTTCTGTCCTTGACTCCTTTGAAGCGGTTTATTGCAAATTTACGATATAAATCACTTTGTTTAAATGACTAATGATGTTACAGTGTCCATTTTCACTTACAGATCTCTGGTAGAACGAATAATTGCTTTTCGCATGGAAGCAACCTTCAGTACAACAGGCAAATGCCATGATGAGGATCAGATAAAGCGTTTCTTGCACACTCTCATTCCCCTCTGGCCCGACAATTGGATCTCTGTCGCGTACGCTCTGCATTATCCGTTCTTTGAATCTAACCTAATGAAGACTGCGTGTTACTTTATTGTTTAAGGAGGCATCGCTTGGATAGTCAATTAGCATTTTTTTGGATCTTTGATTTTCGTCTGCTTTTCTTTAGAGCTCTTTGGCGAGCAGGTTCATCAACTTATCAAAGCATGTTGAACAAATTGTAAGTTTCATATCTGCTGGATGAACAACGAGGCGACTCTTCAATGACTTATAATCACCGGCATCTCTTTTACAGGAATCCTGGTGCTTTGCCGACTGCCACATCCTCTGCTCCCAACCCCACAAGGACAGTGACGCCTGTTGTCAGTAAGCCCATCGGTGCAGTCAGTACCTTTGCATTTCCGAACAGAACGGCAGCGGTAACTGCCTCACTTGCCTCAGGGAACAGATCTCCAGTTGCCTCAAAACCGTCAACTTCTGTTGCCGCCGCTACCGCTCTCCGCGCTGCCCAGCCCACCCTCCCCCTCGCTACCTCTAGCACTTCTAATCCGCGCTACGTCTCTCCCTCAAATCCGCAGCAAGTGTTTGCTCCCCTTGTCAGTAATTCTGCTGGTGGTACTGGCGGCAAAGAGACAAGTGTGTATATGCTTCAATTTGCCACGTCTCCACCTCCTGTCGCCGCTGCTTCCGCAACCAAGAAGGACTCTCCAAAGGCTGCAATAGTTGCTCCCCTAATCGACCTAACTGAGAGTCACCAAGACTCTCCTCCCCAACAACATCCCCTAACTTCCACTATTGTCACTCCTTCTGTCTCCTCTTCCAACCTTAGTCCGCCCAGTATCACTGCTAAGACTGTATCCCCAGTGACAACACCCAGGCGGGTTGCTTGTACGTCGCAGAATCCCACTTCCGCCTTGCCCACTGCTCCTGCTGTTCGTGCATCCGTTCCTTCTGTTACTGTCTCCATGGGTCAGATTCTCGCTCGTGCTCCTATTAATGTCACTCAACAACAGCAACAACAACAGGTAAATTGCGACTCCCGCATTGTTATACTTGTGAGAATTCAACCTCTTATGTCCTAATAACGATGTGGCGACTTGGCAGGCTAATTAACTTGAATTTCTATTCATTGCGGTTATTTTTGGGAAGTAGCACCAAGTATTGAAAGTCCAGATTACCCAGAGACCAATCTATACATCTCATAGTTACTTTTTACTCTATTTCTATACTTCCCTAATGTAATTACTGTTGACTTTAAGTTCTTGTTCATCCATTCAGGCAAGCATAACCCTCCAAGCGGTGTCAAACATAATATCAGCTTTTCAACAGCAGAATCTTCAAAAGCAGCGTCTTGCTGCTCACGAAAACGTACGCTATACAACTGCAGCCGCCCCTATTCTAATGAATCGGCACCACCAACAGCAGCAATCGGCTACGCAGGCAACCACGAGGGTAGTATCGGGAACACCAGGGCAGGCTTGGAACGTTGCGGTTTCTTCAGTCTCCTACGCTCCCTCCGTCTCACTCCCTTCCTCTGTCTACTCGGCACCGATTGTTCAAAATTCATTGGTATCCAGGCCACCGCAGCCACAGCAACTTCGGCAACAGCAAATGCGTGCAGCTTTCACCGGATACAACAAACTCACCGAGCCCTATCTCAGTTGGTCACGTCAGTACGACATAGCACAAGGTTACATTATTGGTGTTTCCCATCTTTTTTTTTAATCTCCCACATTTGAAATATCTCTGTTTCGATTTCGGCCTTGAAGTAACTAATCAGTTCATTGAACAAGATTTAGAAGCAATTGATACCATTTACTCAAAACAATGTGTTATTAGTTCGGACAAGAAATTAAGCTATCGGACGCACAGCTTACTTTCATCTTATGATCAGCTATTTGCGTCGCTCTGAAACACTTCGCGTTACTTTCGTTTAGGCCAAAAAGCATTTCTTACAGAGGCCCGGTAAAGACCCAGCACATGCCTAAATTTCTCTCCCTCTTGTAGTCACAGCATTGTACAACCAGGAACGCGCAATCATTTTTGTACATTAAGCAGTTAGAAATTGATTTCAGCAACGTGCAAGTAGCATATTGGAGACGCTTCACCTGCAGATAAATTTTAACATCTCTTGAGCACTCATTGGTGCAGTCCTTTGAAACTTCATGTGCATCACGCCAGTGAGCTGTTAACCTCCCACTGTTTTCCACTCTGGCTGATATAAGTATGCTTTATGCTGTCCTATTCACTCAGGTCAGTCCAATGACGTAAATCGAACCACTGATAGGACCGGTAAATGATTAGACAAGGTGAGTCCACTTTTTGCATATTTCATCACCTACGATTGAGGAGATTTTCTAAGACTCTTTAACGGCTAGTCATACATTGAATCGGTTGTGTCTCGATTCCGTTTCATGCCTCTTTCATCGAAAAACTATCCTTTAGGTCCGTGCACCATGGAATGACAAATGCATTTATGAAATCAACTCCGTAGTGTGCAACCAAAGCAGTTCGGTGATTATCCCTCGAAATGTGTAAAATTCAGCGTGCAGTTGCCATTCTCTCCTCCCCTCCCCGTATTATGCACCGACTGTTGTCTTTTTTACGGTACTAACCACCTCTTGGAAAGGGCCCTCTTCCAGAGAACCTTGACACACTTGCCATCGGGTTGTCGGAAGAATTTTAATTGCCACGGCTCAAGGAAGTGTTTCATTTCGAGTTATTCTGCTCAATAAAATGTCCTACTTCTATGCACTATTTTTTAACACGTCATGTAAGATACTTCAAATCGGATGAGGCTTCGCAGCGCGATTTTCGCGCTCAAAGAAGACCAGTTTTCATTATCAGTTAATTAGCCACTCTCTGGCTCTATCAATGCGAAGCAAATTGGCCTTCCAGGATTGGAATACGTGATCAGTGCTCGGATGAAGCCAAAGTTATGATAGAGGTGTCCACTTCGTGTTTCCCAACTTCTCCGGGTCTGATACAAAAATGAACCGTAATGTGATGTGGTTCATCGATGCAATGGCTAGGATTAGTGCAATGAGCCCGATCAACTGCTGATCGAAATGGTGACCTGTGCATTCACGCCGACTGCGGTCAGAGGATATTAACAATATGTTTCATGGTTCTTGTTTTCAACAATTAAAATGCATCAAATACGTGACAACCTTTATTTAATTCGACATCCAGAGGGGCATCTGACCTCAAAAAAGGAGCGTAAGTTATGGCAATTCGTCCTATAAATAAGGTAGTTGCGCGTGTCTGCTAAATGTACAAATGCCCATGCATATTGGTGGATACAAGATGAAGTGGACTGCGAGCGAATTTGAGCACTGTCAGAATGAAATAGAAGAGGGGGAGCAAGGAGAAGGGAAGGCTAGAGAATGACTTGCGGCTCGTAGACTGATGCAGGGACAAGGTTGTGTGGAAGAACCGAAACACCGTTTAGGAGGACCTCATCACTCACGCGCACATTTTCGCCTAGGACAGTGCCACTTTCCAGACGCGTCTAGGCAGGGGCAAAGTGGATCATTTTCACACGAAATTTAAATGCTTACTTTTGTAAATCTTATCGAGATAGATCAACAGCTAGTCTAAATGTTGTATCGTTATAGTGACACTAACCGAGTCGTGCTTCCATCACTGGAACATCATATCTTGGTTGGTGCTCTGAACTCAACCAGTCTGTTGAGGATGGAGTATGTGTACTTCGTTTATTGCAATCATTTCTTACTCCACACAGTTCCTATCTTTTTTTGTCATTCATAATGACGCGAATCCCCTTCAAAGGGAGTGCAGATTGGTGTCCAAGAAAGTTGTCGAAAATTTTAAACGACTACAACACGCCCACTCACTTGATGATAAAATTTCGAAATCAAAATCTGGTAATTCAACCATCACTACAATTAAAGGTAGTGAGACTTGAACGTTACATCCTACACAATTTCACTTCTTGTACCGACGCCATCTAAGTCGAACTTTGCAGGCATATGGGTGGGACTTCGCTGCACAACTCCGTTCAATTGCATCAAAATCTGGTCCGCTAGTGAGGATTGAAGTCTACAGTCGATTGTCGCTTGAATAAATTGTTGTCACCGCAAATGACGCGTTTCGTGAGAGGCAACAGTCTTTATTCAAAGCGTTGTTGTTCACAGATGAAGTTTTCACCGTTCCTTGAGATACATCAAGACCAGTCATCGTTAGCAGATGAAGAGGTTCATGGGACCCCTAAGTTGGGGTGCAGTCTGGTTCGCGATCTTGGGGCAAATGCGGCGAAACTTATAGCGTGATCAAGGCTTCAACTGAGCCTGAATAGGATCCATACTCAGGGCAAATTAAATCATGCATTCGGTGTGTGGCAGGGTGCTAATCTAATGGCTCCCAACTTCCTTGGTTTGTTGTACTTAAAAAAAGAGCGTGGACCCTTTTAAAGTCGCGTGACTGGCTGGCAAAGGGCTTGATACAGTTCATAGTGCCGATATCTAATCTGGGGGAGAAGATTCAGCCAGCAAGATGAGTGTTCTGCAGACTACTGAAATTTTGTCTCTTGAAGAAGCCTGCCTTAAGAGGGGAACACTAGACCACACCTTCAGCAGGGCAATGGAGGATTGATATATCTATCTGCTCTCCTAAATAGGGCACGAACATTACCTAAATTTCTTTTAAGAGAGCACATGTTTCCAATGCACCACAAATGAGGGAATAATCACAATGCTTGGAAAGAGAGTACATTAAACCCAGTTCTTATTTAGAGTAATATATCATTCAATTTGTCCTGTAGGCAAAAATCCAAAGGATCAAACTCTGCGCTACACCTGTAAGATGCACATTAACCGAAGTTTGCGAAAAAGACCATGAAATTGTCACAATTAGGTACAAAAAACATTTGATAGAAGTGTCCGCGATAAGAGCAGTTGTTACTCCACCCATTAACCATTAGGGAGGAGAGAGCAATATTACTTTCCAGAGACCAAAGACTGCTTTCGGAATCTTGCAAGTTAAGAAAATAATGAAAAGGACATCATATTAATGAGGTCAGGAGCAGATGTTTAAGTTCCACTCATGGTAATTCAAGCTAGCACCGGCAACCCTAAACATTAACTTCAACCGGATTAGACATGACAAGTTTGCAAGGAACAACTCAAGCCTCCATTGAATATGAAAGTAAGATTTTGGAAGACCTGAGAAAGAGTATTAACATGGCTTACCGAAACATGTACAAGGAAAGTAAAATGATGCCTTACCAGAAGGAAGTCATTCCACTGATCAGAAAGCTCCAAAACATTTCCCTAGTGAAATCAAGGGACTCAAGCAATTATGAATAGAGAGGATGAATAAACATGCACCGATGAAGACGCCTTAACGAATCCAGTGGTAAAGGCTCCCAACAGGAAACTAAAGTTGCTTTGGCTTACATTACTATACTCCAAAGCGGTAATTAAAGGCTACAAACGGCGGTGGAGGACCAATAAAGTGCCAAAAAAGGATAAAATCACAAGTGTAGAACGTGGACCTCCTGCGATTTTATACTTAAAAAGGCGAAATAATTGAAATTAATATTTTTGACATGACAGTAACTGAATCATCCGGTGAAGATTTGCACAGAAAATTCACTAGTCGCAAATAAGACACCAACCTGGGTTTAGTTAACGATGTTCGCAATAGAACTTTGGACAACTAAAAGTGAATCAATGAATGTTTTGCGTCAGTACTGCTGTATCTGTATCAGTGCCGCTGTACAAGCTTGTAGTGCATGTCTACTTGCATCCTACCCATGCCGGGATGTTTTAAGCTTCGTTCCACTGAACATCATATTCACTACACCACTTCACACAAGGCAGGCAAAACAATACTTCTTACCTCTTAAGATCAACAAACATGTATCATGCATTAAAAATAACAAGAATTAAATTTCCCCTCTGTTAAATAACGAAGTGGAACAAGACCACGGCCTTGATCCTACAGTTTAAGTTGATGCAGGTTCTTG